TAAAAGCTCCGCTGCTTTACCCCACATACGCACGACCGGAAGGAGCGGAAGCGGTCGACTGTGGCATAATAAAAGCTCCGCTGCTTTCGAGCCGTGTGTCGCGCTTGTTCAGCGCCTCGTTTCGCTTCGACGGCTTTCAGCCTCACCCTGCTTCATTCTACTACGTTAATAAATCATTAGCTCATCCATGAACATGATTTCTGCCCGAGTCCCGTCGGCTTGCATCGGCTGTGGGGATGAAGACCACCACTCCCATGATTCCACACTCAGTCACGGCGTCATCAAACTATGCCTTTGTCTCTTTGTTTATTTTGAATACGCGCCCTCCAGCGGCGAAAAATTACATAGTGTGCCTTTAACTGCGAGCAGACAGAGTGTCATTCAATGCATTGGAGAATACGGCGAACATAAATAAAGAAACGAAGTTGCTTGTCAGATTTCCCTAGCAAGCAACCATATTTTTTAAAATAAGCCCAAAAAAACGCGACCCGGGATTTCTTCACGCAACTTTACAAAAAAAGAAGCCCAAAGTCGCATATTATATGCGGACTTGGCAACTCTGGACACCAGACGTGTTCATAAGTGACCGCTAATGAACGTCTGCTGAGCTCGTATTGGGCTGCTGGTGGATTCTGCAGCACTGGCTGAAATGCTGTTTTTTTGGTCTGTTTGATGTCAGTCTATCACTAGTCGCTGCGTCTGGATTTTCATGACTGGGATACGCTATAATCTGCATGACTTTTCACCTGCTTTTTAGGTAAACGTCTATTTATTAAGTATTGAATGAGATCTCTTTTGACCAGTCAGTTGATCTTTGAGCTTTAACATTCAAAAAAGTAATTAAATATTTAGTAATGCATTAAAATCTCATTCGTTAATGCGTTGAATGCTAACATGAACTAACAATTTAAAAATTATATATTAATAAGTATATTATTAATATATAATTATATATTAATTATTTTATATATTTTAATTTTATATATTATTATATCAAATGTATAATATAAAATATTAGTGCTGTCAAACGATTAATCGCGATTAATTGCATCCAAAATAAAAGTGTACATAATATTACATAATTCTGTTTGCATAATATATGTGTGTGTTCTGTGTATATTTATTATGTATACATAAATACACACTATGTGTACTGTGTATGTTTATTATGTATATATAAATACACACACACAGTGTATATTTTTAAAATATTTACATGTATATATTTATATTAATATAAATTATATCATATATAAATATATGTAATATATAAATGTAACATATTTTTCTTAAATATTTTAAAAATATTAGCATGAAAGTTTTGTTTTTAAAAATGTATTAAAAAAATGCTGTTAATTAGTAAATTAACACTACCTAAAGTTAATAAATGCTGTAGTTATTTTAAAATATTACCAAATATTTTAATGTTTATGCTTTAAAAGAAATGCCTAATGAAATGCATTAAACTGTAAATTATTCATAGATGATTGTAGTCTATTGTTTTGTATAATATATAAATCTTTTTTATGCTCAAACAGCAACATTACAGACTAACTAAAGTTGAAAAAGTGAAAAAGCATAATAGGACCCCTTTAAGTGTTAGCAAATATTTTAATGTTTATGCTCTTAAAATGAAATGCCACCTCAACTCCTAATAAATCAAATAGGCAGGTGTGTATGAATGAACAAAGAAAAGCAATAATCAGCCAAAAAAAAAAAAGTTTGCTAATCACATTTTAATGCAACGTTTCGGTCATGTGACCTTCCGGCAATATTTCTGCTCTTAAACCTGTGCATTTCTCAGTGAGTTCAAACCGCAGCGGAGCCGCTGAGGTGTGTGTACCTGGCTGTTGAGGGCCTCCAGCAGCCGCTTGCTCCCGTGTTTGATGTCCTTCACCAGGCTCCAGGTCAGGTTTTCCTTCTCCATGAAGCTCCAGTTCTCTTTGTACCAGGTCAAGACGCTGTAAATGCGGCTGAGACACCTTTCCTGAAACATCGGTGAGGGGATTCATCACCAACACGTTAATATTTGACGGAATAATACAATGCTTGGCTTGAATGGTAATGATTGATTTTAAAGTATATATATTATTATTAGTAGTAGTAGTACATTATTTTTTATTTTTTTTATTGCTATCATTATTATTACAGTTACTTATCAAAACTATGAAATAACACAGACGTATGGGAATTATATAGTGACAAAAAAAGAGACATTCTAGCAAATGTGAATTTTCAGTCTTACTAAAACTTCACAATCTAAAAGTGATTAAATATTTGTAACACCTTAAAATAAAGTATCATTCGTTAATGCTTTTTCTAACATGAACGAACAATTTTCTAAATATAATATATAAAAATATAAATGACCCGTTAATATAGTTAAATAATATAAATAAAAATATATAGTAATATATAAATAACCTAATAACAATGTGATTTAATTTAAATATTATATAAAATATTAAATGTATAAATAAAAAATGATTATGTATAATGCATTTTTACATAATTAAACTTTGTTAATGTTTATAAAATGTTTACAAAAATATTGTTTGTTCATATTAGTTCATAATGCATTAGAAAATGTTAAAAAGTATTTACAGAGACGATAAAAAAGTTTCAAAATTTTAATATGTTATTGTTTTAAAATGAGAAATTTAAAACTAACAATTTTCTAAATATAAT